TTGTTATCATTTACTTGCCCTCATGTCGTTCCAAACCATGGCTTTCTTTTTTCTGCTGAAAACAACAGAAGATATTTGGGAATAACATTCAATCCCCTTGACTTTCACTGTATAGAAAAAAAAAAAACACACACGCTTTTGAGAAGAAAGAAAATCATACAGGTTTGGAATGACATGAGGATGAGAATTTTGATTTTTGGGTGAACTATCCTTTTAAATGAAATTGAACTCCATTCAGTCTCCCAAGCTATGAACGAACAATTTCTAAACAATAATATTTTCATCTGTTGTGGCACAGATTTGGTTTTCCCTTTCTCTGTTTTCCTTAACTCCCCTTCTTTTTGTACATTGTCCTTCATCCAGGGGTCCAGGCTTCTTTATCTCTACCTCGTCCCATGTCTAAATCCATTCATTCATCCCTGTCAGTGCTCAGGCTTTCATTTGTGTTCAATGCAGCTCTTCTCTGGTATCTTATGCCTGTAATTGGCTAGCTGAAGAAGCCGAGGAAACATAAAGGACTGAGCCTGATCCCATAAACCAGTTCATTCCAGCGAGAGGAAGTGTTCACATACCCGGTATTTATTGCAAGCCACTTCACTTGACAAACAAATAAAAAGTGCTGTGGCTTTGGCTAATTTAAAGGTAAAGTGTATAATTTCTATGCCACTAACATTGCCAAAAGGAATTACAAAAACAATGAGTCCTTTTAAATAGTAAAAAAAAAAAAAAAGCTGGGATAGGAGAAAGTATTTTATCATAAAAAAGTGATACACTTGAGCTTTAACATTGCTACACACCATTGCTATTTCCCACAGTGCATCAGTAGGGTATGATGAATTTTGCTCTAGCTGTCCAGCAATTGTGAAAGAACATGAGCGTTTCCCCTACATGCAGTAAGCGTACAAGTATTACATTACAAAATGTTAATAACATGATATCATGATTAAAAAAAAAATGTTGTGGTCATACATGGACATAGCTTATTTAACAAAATACAGTTTTTTACGATTGCTTAAGCACAATTTTGAAAACAGGGCCCGGTTTGTCAAAACTCATTATTACTGCTATTATTATGATCACAATCAATATAATTAATAATAATAATAATAATAATATAACTTGTATTGCTTTTTAATTATTTTGAGTATTTTTTTAACCATCAAAATCCAGAATCACTTTCCATAGACACCCACAATTGTGTGTGAGAAAGACAGACAAACATTTTCCCAGCTCAATTATTGCCAATTATTGTTCATTTGGAGCAAGAGTGACAAAGCAGCCTCTGTTTTTAAGAGAGCATGGAGGATTTCAACTGCTGTGAATTGGCCTTGGGTGTTTTTTTCCCACAGTATAAGTCATATTTTGCTGTAAATATATGCGTTCGGTAAATTAGGAAAGGCTGGTGTAAATAGTCATAAATCTCAGACATTTAAGTAAATACATATAGTGTAAACATACGGAATCCCTGAATCCATTCATACAGGGGAGTGTGTGACATTGTACGTTTACATTATACATCCTAATGTCATCCTTGTGACTTCCAGCTGCCATCACACTGACAGGTGCTGACACAAATGAGTCATTGATGCTCTCTTCCTTTTTCTACCTTCCAACTTTTATGTTTGAGATGACACTTGGGAGTCAGTCATTTATAATGTACTTCTGTTCTTTTTCTTCTGACTTCTCTCTGGTCTGGATCTGCACTCCAGGTTTGACTGTTTATATCAGTGCAGTGGAACTATAAATCCACAGCAAATATGCTTTATATTTCATAGCCCTGTAGGCTATATTACTAGAACGACCTTTCAAGGTCCATAACATCAGAATTTTACCCTATTTTTCAAATAAAGCGTAATAAAAAAATGTAGAACATGCATTATTAATAAAAGTGCACAGCAGGAAGCTGGTAGTGAAAGATTAGTCTTGTCTCATTTTCCAGAGCCAAGGTAATATTTCATATGTAGAGCACAACATGTACTACAAAAATATATGTTAATTAGAGAGAGCTAGGGTGTTCTATGTGCTTAAAGTGTTGCCAAGTGGTTTTGTAGGTAGCTAGCTAGCAAGATAGATAGATAGATAGATAGGCTGATAGATAGATAGATAGATAGCAAGATAGCTAGCTAGATAGATAGGCTGATAGATAGCTAGTTAGCTAGCTAGCTAGCCAGATAGATAGATAGATAGATAGATAGATAGATAGATAGATTACTAAGTGAGAACAAGCAACATGTTATCCTACGATTCTATGAATTTACAGTAATGTTATTTTCATTATTTTTATTTTTATTTACTGTTACATGATTCATGTGAAAACAGCTTCCCATGTGAATGTGTACACGCGTGTAGGCCTATGTGTATTCAGTCAGTATGAAGTTCAGCAGCTCAGAAGTGTGCAGGGGACTAAATGGGTCTTCCCAATGGAAGGAATGTATTAATGATAAGGACGAATGGGCTGCAGACAAACTGATGCTGCTAACAAGCCTTCACAGAAGAGGAGGTGATGAGTCATTTTGGTTGCCAGGTAACCCACAGAGGTGCTGGTTTTTCTCTGTGAGATGGTGTTCCAGCATACCTAGAGAGAGAGGGGTTGAGGAATAAAACACATCTCACAATCAATGTCAAGGGAAGTTAAAGCTTTGCTCAATGCAGCCACCTGTAAAGATGAAAAAGATTCAAATTTGGGTAGTGTCTATTTACATCAAATGCAAATACCCAAACGTGTTGACAGTGGGTGCTTTTGCTAACCGTCCACTAGCCTACTGCTTAGACAATTTACCCACATTACAAATAACAATACTTTTATTTACATTTTATGTGCGTAGCATCTATAGCTTAAGTGTAAACTAGATGCTGTTGGTTGCTGTTTACACAAACAGTATTTAGCCTACCACTATATATAATTTATAGAATTTACCTTCTTTTAGTTTATCTTCAGTAATTCTATACACAGAAAACCTAAAGGGGCTCATATAACACTTGAGATAAAGAAAACAACAAATGTTAGTGAATATAAATTAAATCCTCATTTGGTTCATAGTAGGCTATGTAGGTCAGCAAATAACTTTGCCTAGCTATTGCTATGAAGGAAGGGAAATAAATAAATAAATAGATAGATGAATAAATTGTGATGTTAAATAAAATGTAAAAAATGACGATGTTGCCCCCCCCCTCAGCATTTAAAACAATTTTTCACATTTTAAAAACATTTTAGAACAATTCACCATGACGCGGAATATATAGTAAAATGCTGGTAAACAGCGCCCTCTGCTGTTATCATAACTTTTTTTTTTAATTATTATTATGCTCAAACAGAATTCAAATACAAACATTTATGGCATATGACACAGTTGATACAGCATTTTAACAAAGCAAATGATATTAAAAAATAAAAAATCAATAGTAGCCTAATTGAATAGAAAAATAAATAAATAAATGAATAAATAAAAATAGGCAAAGGTGAGGGTCTCATTCAAGTAATGAAAACAAGTCCAAATCAAAAAGAGGTTTCAGGGCATTTCTGTCCATCATGCATTAAAGAGATTTTACAAATAACTTCAATTCATTCTTCCATCCGTTGAAATGGGGTTTCACCTGTAAATATTTACATCTGTGAATAAAGTGTTTACCTAATCAGGTTGTTTATCAAAAATTCTAAATTCTTATCTTTCAAAACCACCCCAACTTTAATTGCAATCACATTCAAAGGGTATAATGCTATACCCTTAGATTTGATCCAACTTTGAAATGAAAGCCAAAATTCCTGTATAAATTGACATTGAAAGAAAATGTTCTATCGTTTCAATTTCTTTTTCACAAAAACCACACGAGTTGTTCTCCCAGTTAAATCTCTCATGTAAAAAGCAACAGGATGGGTAAATGTCATTCAAGATGTTAAAAGTCACGTAAAGATAAGTATCGCTTCCTTAGTTTTTTTTTGCCTCTTCATCAGTGAAATCTTGAAGAACATATTTTCTTTTCAATTGACTAGGGTAATAATGTTTGGATAACACAATTCTGATAAACTTATTTGTAAACTGTTTGCTATTTAAATTTATACCTTCTATACAGAGTGGTCTCATTTCTGATATAATGTTAGAGTGCATTACAGATTGTTGAATCATTGTTTTCATGGGTGCTGGGATGGCCTTTATCGCTCTATATTCTCTAATTGGGCACTGAAAGTTAAATTTATCACAAAAATCTCTATATTACAACAAATGACCAAAATTATCCATCAAATGTGTTACTGCCCATATTCCTTTTTCCATCCAAGTTCCTAGAAACAAAGACGTTCTATTACTCAGAATATACCTGTTGTTCCATAGGGGTGTATTATGTGGTGTGAAATTGTGCTTAAATAATAATTTCCAGTATAGAAGAACTTCCTGATGGAAGTCAGATGATTTTACAGGTAATTTATATAAATCATAGTCACAGCGCAGTAGAAAATCAACTCAGCCCATTTTTTGACAAATATTAAATTGGGGATACTGAACCAAAAAGAGTCTTTATGAGTCTTTTATCTATGACATTCATGCCACCCTTTTCAATACTCTTGATCAAGTCAGCTTTTCTGATATAATGGCATTTATCCTTCCAGAAAAAGTTAAAATTTATCTTGTGTAATAGTTTGATCATAAATTTTTAATGAAAAAGCAGGGTAAATAGCTCTTGATATAACGTACTCCATCTTGGATAGTAAAACCTTGCCGAAAATTGTTATATTCCTTTGAAGCCATGAGTTCATCAATTTTTATTGATGTTCTCTTTTCCCCTTATTTCTTTATTTCGTGTAACTGTAATGCCCAAATATTTGACTTATTAATATATTATTAATTAAGCGAGCTGGTTGATCATGCAGAGCAAGAATTTCACTTTTGTTAATATTTAATGTAACACTTGATGCTTGCTGTTACCGTGACTGTCCTACACATTGATATGTATTTATCTATGGTATTTATACATAAGCTACGGTTCTACACGTGAAGTGCTCGTCGCTGTTTCCGCCATTTCAAACGCAACATCCGGTTGTGTAGCAGCCATTTTGTCTGTTCAGGCAAGTCCGCCCCACACGGTCAAGAACTGACGTTCCCCTTTGGAAAACATTTCAGAAATATCACACTTGATACTTTCCCGCGCCATCTATGGAAGTGGAAACGGGCTGGAAAAAATACCTTATTGAATTCTACGCTCGGGAATACCTCTCACTGGCCGATGTGTGCTGTTTTTGTTGAGTGAGCTTCATTAATCGGGGTTATGTCGAGCGAGGAGAGTTACTTAGCCATCCAGCGCTACCTGACGGATGAACGTGAGCCTTACGCACCGGGCACGCACGGCAACACCAAGAGAAAGATCCGAAAAGCTGCCGCTTGTTACATAGTGCGCAATGGGATTCTTTATTATCAGAGGCGGCAGAAAGGCCTGGATGAATTCACGGAGCTTGAAGTGGTGCTGCAGGCCGAGAGACGGAAGGAACTCATCACGGAGGCGCACATCACGTCCGGAGGGGAACACCTCAACCAGCAGCAAACATGGGAAATCATCTCCCAGAAATACTGGTGGAGAGGTACAGTAATCACAACTGTAATGACAGCACAGTTTTCCAGACTGATGTCACGCAGTTCTGAATCGCTTAGATGTTTCTTGACAGTATATGCCAAGCATGTGACAAGGACCTACAGCTGGATAGTGTCATTGATAAAGATATTACAAAAGAGCATATATATATATACATATATACACTGCTGTTCAGAAGTTTGGGATCAGTAAGATTTTTTATGTGTTTTAAAGAAGTCTCTTCTGTTCATCAAGGCTGTATTTATTTGACCAAAATACAGAAAAAACTGTAATATTGGAAAATATTACCATTTTAAAATAATGGTTGTCTATTTTAATATACTTTAAAATCTGATTTATTTCTGTGATGCAAAGCTGATTTTTCAGCTTCATTATTCCAGTCTGCAGTGTCACATGATCCTTCAGAAATCATTCTAATATGCTGACTTATTATCAATATTGGTTGATAATGATTTCTGAAGGATCATGTGACGCTGAAGATTGGAGTAATGATGATGAAAAATCAGCTTTGCATCACAGAAATAAATCAGATTTTAAAGTATATTAAAATAGAAAACCATTATTTTAAATGGTAATAAAAACTGTAATAAAATACTGATCCCAAACGTCCCAATCATTCACTTTCGGTTTTCACCTACTGTTCTTATTTGTCGATGACGTCTTTGTGTGCACAGTCATAATCATAAAGACAGGTGTTCTTAAAACGCAACATTTGTGCTATTAAGGTTACAGATGCTCTTGCTAAATGGGCTCCCATGATTTGTTGTTTTTGGAAGTGTGATACGTTTCACCCAGTGGAAAGATAACTAAAACATATCCGCACTTCCGCAGTGTTTGTTTTTTTCACTGTAGCTTACACAGATGATATTAACCTATAATAAGTGGTGTTCACATTATTTTGTCCAACCCCTGTATGTATAATGTAGATCTGATCATACTCGGAATAGCTTTTTATTGTCCAAGTATGATTGTGTATGAATTTAACATGGCGTTTTCTTAAATAGAACAGGCAATAAAAATCCTCATATATTAATATTAATAAATGAGACAGTGAGATGGATAGATGCTTTATTAATCCCATTGGAAAAAATAGATGTAATTTATTGGTTTTTGAGACAAACTCTGTTATTATATGTAGCCTAAACCTAATCGTCTTATGACAGGTGTGCTGAAGCAGGTGAAGGATTGCATCAGAGAGTGCAGTCACTGCCAAAGCAAGCAGGAGAAGGTGAGAGGCAACGCTGAAGAGGCCACAAAACAAGCAGCTGTCCGGCAAGCAAGACGAAAGACCTCCGCCTGTGCCAGTGAGGAAGAGGACGATGAGGCACTTGATTATTTGGATCTGGAGCAGTCCAGTGCACCTGATAAACACGAATTGGTGTTTGTAAGTATAGTATGCAATTTACAGTGTCACTGAATCAAAATTTGTTTCTTAAAATTTTACATTTAATTGACAGTATTCTGGGTACAATAGTATCTTGATATTAAAAGATGAGGATATTGAAATCAATTTCAATTACGTTGATAAATATTATTTATACTAAATAACAATGAATACAAATACAAGTATTACATTTTATGTTTTAATGTATTTTAAATGTATAAATATCATTTATATTTTATAGATAAGTTTTAAAAGTTAATGCATATGATAATGATATCATATTACTATTATTATGCATTGTTATAGGTGGACAGTAAGGGAATTGTCAAGCAGTTCTTACCGAAGCATGGGCAGACGATGCTGGACAAGTTGAACCAGCAGCGACTGAATAATGAGTTCTGTGATATCACGCTGCTCATTGAGGGTGAGGAGTATCGCACACATAAAGCTGTCCTGGCCTCCTGCAGCGATTATTTCTACGAGCTCTTTGTGGAAAAGGGTGCTATGTCCAGTCATGAAGCTGTCGTTGACCTCTCTGGTGAGAAGAATGCAGCATGCTGTAGATTGAAATAATGAAACAAACTGAAAGACAAATCGATTTAAGGGTTTGTGTTTAATGATATGAAGTATTTAAAGGTATAGCTCACCCAAAATGGAAAACTCTGTCATTATTTACTCACCCTCATGTTGTTCCAGAGCTATATGACTTTCTTTCTTCTTTTCCTGTGGAACATAAAAGACGAAATTTGGGGGAAATCATTTTCTTTTTTTTGTCCGTACATTGGAAGTCAGTGGTACCTAAATTGCACCTAAATGTACCAACATTCTTCAAAATATCATCTTTTATGTTCCACAGAAGAAAGTCATTACAGGTTTGGAACATCATGAGGGTGGGCAAATTATAACAGAATTTTCAATTTTGGGTAAACTATGCCTTATAAAACGGATAGTTCCGGTCCTTGATTCTGATTGGTTGAGCCGCGTTCGAAGCTGTTGTAAATTACACTACAAACATAATTAGAGCCCGACCGATATGGTTTTTTTGGGGCCGATACCGATATTAGGGAGTAAAAAAAAAGGCTGATATTCTTTGTGTATATTATAGTACAGTACCAGTCAAAAGTTTGGACACTTTCCCATTCGTGTGTCCAAACACGAAACTTATTAGAGAAGTGTGACATAATATACCTCTGTGAATAAATACAATATAAATTCACGTCTCGCGCACTTTAATGCCCTTTGAATGTAACGTGTACGTTCCCTTGGAACTGGAATCATGGCGGAATTTCATGTGAAATGCGTTATATGTTCTGTAAAAGTAAATGTTCATATTGGCGGCATATTTGCCGATACCTATATATCGGCGACAGACTCATATCGGCCGATAATATCGGCAAAACGATATATCGGTCGGGCTCTAAACATAATGCACCTTTGTTTACTTCTGTGTGTTGCTCGGGCAACCACTTTGTTGGAACCACAACTGTTTCTGAGGAACTACATTGTTTGGTGGAAGAATACTGTTTTTATTAATATCATTACACTTTATTTGCTCTGTTTTATTCTGTGAAACCTTACTACGTATATGGAATAACCGTTTTATAAAAGCAATAAACCCCATGAAGCCGGGTTTACAGTGAATTTATAACAGCTAAGGGGGTTTCGCTTCGCGTCGTGCCTAACAATGCCCCTTAGCTGTTATAAATTCACTGTAAACCACGGCTTCTTGGGGCTTATTGCTTTATTTAAATATAATCTCTGTTCCGAACTCCAGTGAGCTGCATCAGAATTCTGTTTCCATAGACATTATCCAGACCATGTGACCTCAAAGTGACTAATTGAAAGAAACACTGTTCTATCTGTCAATACATACTTCGGATTCAACTTTATACTGAGCAAATTGCAGTGCATTCTGGGATAAAGAACATGCATCTTCACATTGGGAGCACATCTGTGATGACAATTAATCAGTCAACCACTATTAGGAAAAGTTTTTCTGTTTGTCTGATAAGTGACGAATGCAGGTCTTTTGTTTTGACAGTGCCTGAACCATGTCTTCATTAGTTTACTGGCTTAACAGTTCTGTCTGATAAAAAAACTTGAACATTCAACAAATATACAATCATATAATTTAAATAAGTATTAAATATTTAATTACACAAACCTTGCAAATGATAGCGAATCCTGCAGTTAAATCCTCTGTTGAATCCCTAGGAATAAAGGATTAGGAGGTTGCTGTCTAAAGTAAAAATCTGTTTATTTTACAGACTGGCAATGGCCGTCAAAAAAAATCTACATCAGTCAACCACAATGTGTAAAATACTGGCTAGATAGGCAGCTCCCTAGCTAGTTTGTAATTAGTGTGAGAACATTAACCATTTAATTTATTGATGTGTTATTTGAGAATATTATATGTATTTGAAATGCCATTGTTTCTTTTGTTGTTTTACCTGACAGGCTTCAGCAAGGCCAGTTTTCTGCCATTACTGGATTTTGCCTACACCTCCAATCTGACCTTCAACTTTTGTGTGATGGCAGAAGTAGCCACACTGGCACGGCATTTACTGATGGCGGAAGTGCTTGAGATCTGCGAGTCTGTGCATAAGAAAGTGGAAGAGCAGAAGCTGATGGTCTACCAGAGGGAAGACATTCACACTGTGGTATCCAACCAACCTGCGCCCCCTCAGCCAGTAACACCCACTGCCTCCGAAACCTATGTTGTGACTATGCAGTGTGAAGGCACGCCTGAAGAAGGAAAGTCCCTGGCTGTAATCGCAAGTGAAATCGGGACAGCTGAATCGCTGGCGTTGCTTGCTGGTGCGACCGTAGATGGCGAAACGATGACTGTAGTCACTCATAGCGGACAGGCTGGCTCAGCGGAGTCTCTTGCCATGGTGGCCCACAGTGGCCATGCAGAGGAGGACGAGACCATGACTCTGGTCACTCACTCTGGCCAGGCAGGTTCAGGTGAGTCCCTGGCTGTAGTACAGGCCTGTTGGTCTGTAGATGAGCCACAGGTTGGTGACACACCTGTCGCAGAGAGCATGCAGACGGGAGCCTTTCTTATTAGCGTGGATCCTGGCAAAACGGATGCTTCTGAGATTGTGCATTTAGCTGCAGCAGTGCCACCTGCTGTGCAGGATGAGCCCCAGGCGGCTGAACCAACACGCCAACCTGAGCCTGCAGCAGCGCCACAGCCAGCCCCTGCACCAGTGAAAAGGAGGCCAGGGAGACCACCTAAAGTGAAGCAACAGGAACCACCTCCTCCTTTTCCGTCAGAGGAGGAGCCCAAGGAGATGGAGGGTGTTGAGGATGAATCAAAAAAAGAAGAGGAATGCATGGATTCCAACAAGAGATACCTGAGAAAACGATCTGTGAAGGAAGGAGGGTATGTTCGTCTTCATATGGGACTTGAGACGGAAGAGGAAGAGAAAAGCATTTCACCTCCTACGAAGGTATGCAACTCCCATTCACTCGACATACGATTCATTTGTAAATATGACTATGGCCCTGTCCCAAATGGTGCCCTTTTGGACTTGGCATATCTGTGAGGTCCACAAGACCGCAGGGTGGCCCATCTGTCATTTTATGGCTTAAAAGGGTGCTCAGGAGTGCATCCAATGCAGCTTTGCGAAGCCTGGTGTCCTGATATCGTGTCCTAAAATCATTATGAGGAAACAGTCTTCATTAAAAGAAAGAAGTTCTTGAAACCAAAACCTTAAGTAATTAATAAATTAACAATAATAAATAATGGCATAATCAAATTTATTACATACAAAATTAATTTTAAGCAAAGTCATGTGATGTGCCAACATGCAGAAACTTGCAGAAAACATGCAGAAAAAACTCCAAAATCGTAATATTTATGTATGAATAATTCATGATATTTGTTAAAAACAAAAAAGGTTTTACCTTGAAAAATATGTTTTGAAACTTTTATAAGTATAACAATTTAGATATGACTCATGTATTATGTGAAGTAAAATCAAATTATTTATTATTTCTTAGAAAAATGTATTTTAACAAAACTGCTTCACCGCTTATTAATATTTGAAAAACCATTGTATGCCAAGTCACGCAGAAACAGAAACTTGTGAGAAAAAAACGTATTACTTATATTTATGATAGGTTAGGATAATTTAGGATATTTGTAAATATAAAAAAAAAGCTTTTTACCTTGAAAAATATATTTAAAAATATTTTTAGATGTTTACTCTCTTATGTATTATTTGAAGTAAAATGTTATTCTACATTTTTAAATGTTATATATTTTCACCACAGTCGTTAAATTTAAACTTTTCTTGAGAATGGTATAAATATTTTTCAAAATCAAAATGAAAACATTAAAATACCATAGTGCAGCCAAAAACCTGGGTCATGCATTTTTCAAACTAGATTTTATTTAATTTATTTTTTTAATCATCATAATATACACTATTATTTATCATTGAATCTAATATTATGATGTTGTTCAATGAGCTAGGGATTAGGATGGGGAAAAAATTGCACAAAGGCAGTCAGCCAGATTGTCTTATTAGAATCACACTGTGTCCCCAGACACCTCAGAGATTTGTCAGGAGAGGCCGACCGGTTCAGTCTGCGAAGAAGAATCCTGATGAGTTTTCAGAGACAAACCTGGAGGCTACTTCTGATGCCGTAGCTGCTTTAGCAGAGGAACCTGAGCCTGTTGCAGACCAGCCAGAGACCGTGGAGGAGGACACACTGCAGGGAGACCCAGGAGGAGCTGCGGAGAGAGAACACGCGTGTAACGAGTGCGGCTTGGTGTTCCAGAGGCGGTACGCCCTCATCATGCATGCTCTGAAACACGAGAAGACTCGCAGCTTCAAGTGCAGTGTATGTACCCTTGGACTGAATAAAAAGTAATAATTCTAGCCTGATCTTTATGCATTTTGGATATTTTTCTGACTTTTCTTTTGACCGCACAGATTTGCAATAAGGAGTTCCAGTACGCAGCTTCGCTCCGTGCACATTTGGCCCGTCACAAGCATCAGAAGACCCAGAGAGCCAGCATGACACGAGCCATGGCCGCAGAAGATTCTCAGGGGTCAGAAGGTCAGATGAGGTACCGCACCAAACGGGAGTTTGTGTGCGACATCTGTGGCAAGACTCTGCCCAAGTTGTATTCCCTGCGCATTCATATGCTGAACCACACGGGGGTGAGGCCACACACATGCAAGGTTTGCGGGAAGAGCTTTGCCACCAAGCACAGCCTGAAGATGCACCAGGCGCTGCACGACTCCCTCAAGAGATTTCAGTGCACTGTCTGTGAGAAATCTTTTGTCACCAAGAGAAGCCTGGAGGAGCATATAAGCATTCACACAGGTACACACTCCTTTTACTTGTGTCAGATGAATATGTAAATATGCAAGTATCTAATGGAGCACTGTTATAATGTGTGAATTAGAATTAACTATGGGTGAAAAAAATGCATTGATCTAATTATAAAAAAACCAATGCATTCTAATTTATATTCAGTTACAGAATTAATAACTGATTATTTTTACACTACTCATCTAAAGTTTGTAATGTGTTTTTTTTTTTAAAGAAATGAATACTTTTATTCAGCTAAGATGCATTAAATTAATCAAAAGTGACAGTAAAGACATTCATAACGTTAAGAAAGTTTTCTATTTCAATTAAATGCTGTTCTTGATTTTCATTAAAGAATCCTGATAAAAATATATCATGGTTTCTAAAAAAATATCAAGAAGCATAACCATTTTCAAAATTGATAATAAATACCGGTAATAAGAAATGTTTCTTGAGCACCAAATCAGCATATTAGATCATGTGACACTGAAGACCGGAGTAATGGCTGCTGAGAATTCAGCTTTGCATCACAGGAAAAAAAATTACTTTATTTTAAACTGTTTATTATTTTAAATTATATTATAATTAAAATAAATGTATTATTTAAAAAAATTATATTATTTTTAACTTTAAAGGGGTTCAATTCAATTTCAATTTTTCCTTTCTCTTTGGAGTGTTACAAGCTCTTGGTGCATAAAGAAGATCTGTAAAGTTGCAAACACAATGGTAAGGCCGTAACATTTCCATCGCTCGCTTGAGGTATTCGGCCAATCACAACGCATTGGATAGCTGGCCAATCACAGCACACCTCGCTTTTTCAGACCGATGAGCTTTGTAAAAATCGATGCGTTTCAAAAAGGCGGGGCATAGAGGAGAAACAATAATGTACAGTATGTGGAAAATAATGTGTTTTTTTAACTTTAAACCGCATAAACACATTTCATTACACCAAATACACAAAATAATGTTCTTTTTAGCAGCATCATATGACCCCTTTAATAATATTTCACAATATTACTGATTTTACTGTATTTTTGTCCAGTTAAATGCAGTGATGGGGAGCATAAGAGACTTTTTTCAGAAACGTTAAACAATCTTACCTACCCCAAATGTTTTGAACGGGAGTGTACTTTAAGCAAATCAAGTTTATTTATATAACACATTTCTTACACAATGGTAATTCAAAGTGCTTTACATTGTAATACAAGCAAGACAGAAACTTAAAAATGAAAAATAAAAGTAAAATACAGATAAAAAGCAATAAAATTCATTAATAAGCTGGTTAAAAGACATGGCAAAAAGCTGGATAAATTCTGTAAATAAAAAATTTAGAATTAGTGTGCTGTTTTTAAATTACAGAATGTGCAAGTAAGCAGATGTCTAGACTTGAATGCGGCAACCATTGTAGGTGCCTGACATCTGGAACTGGTTCCTGATGCATAGTAGATAAATACTGTCTTTATGTGTTTGAAATTAACCCTAAATATTCCTAGCTATCTCAGTTTTAATGATCTAAGAGGTCTATTAGGTTTATGTTCAGTAAAATGTTTTTATTTGTAAAATTCCACCAACCCCAGATTCCAGCATGGACACTTTTAGTTGCTGTTAGAATTCAGCATGTTTTCGAAGTATGAACCAAATTATTGAATTATACCTAAACCCAAATTTAAGATTATTTAGTTAAAGGTTGTCAAATTATTGTCTGAGCAAAAACGTACACTCTTAGTTTTAATGTAGTTATATTACACTGTTTGTAACATTAAGATAAATGCTAAATGATCAGTTCATAATAGCAGTTTGTTTAACAGGTGAATCAAAGTACTTATGCACAACCTGTGGAGCATCTTTTCACCGTGCGTCCGGACTGAGCAAACACCTCAAGAAACATCAGCCCAGACCTGAGGTCCGCTCATTCCACTGTTCTCAGTGAGTGCCTTTTCCCTCGACACATGCACACAACTGTTTTCTTCAAACACCCCATAGACTTTTATTCACACATCTTCCCAATATAATGATTTTGTTCCTTAATTTGTTCGTTTTGTTCCTTCATTATAGCTGTGATAAGAGTTTCTTTGAAGCAAAAGACCTGCAGCAGCACATGAATAAGCACTTAGGCCTAAAGCCCTTCCAGTGCCAGGTCTGCGGCAAATGCTACAGCTGGAAGAAGGACTGGTACTCGCACGTCAAATCACACACCGTTGCAGAGCCCTTCAGGTGAGAGTAAAATAGTTCATTTCTTAAGGGGTGTTTTGAAAGTCCATTTTTTTGAGAGAAGAAGAAAATGAAATAGATTTTTATTATGACATTTTATTTTATCATTACTCTAAAGAATTATTTTTTAGACTGAAAGAAAAACGACCTTAAATCTGAAAAGGGCCTGTCATGGGAATTATAATCTGTATTATATAATATCTGAACTCTAGAGAGACTCTAGCACTTGTTAGAGGTAGATGTCAAACTAAATTGTGTGTTTTGTCCTTTTGGCAGGTGTAATGTGTGTGGGAAGGAGTTCTTTGAGAAGGCCCTGTTCAGACGGCATGTCAAGAAAGCCACTCATGGAAAGAAGGGCAGAGTGAAGCAGAACTTGGAGAGAGAGTGTGAACACTGTGGGAGGAAGTTCACACAGCTCAGGGAGTACCGCCGCCACATGAATAATCACCAGGGTGAGTGGAGAATTCATACATAAACACATGTTTTGTAGAATGATAATAAATAATTTACATGCAGATTTAGGAACCATTTCATCCAAAACAATAATATATATAAAGAGAGTTGTAAATATATTTAAAAAAGGGAAAGGGAAGAATTCTGTCAACACTATGACTTTATGCTTGTTTCTGAGACAACTATGTTGTTGTTGATTTTGATTTTTATATATTTGTTTTTAATTTTACAAAATAGTTTTTTGTTTGCTTTTTTGTGAACAATCAGGAGCCAAGCAAAAAAAATTATTTTTGTGAATAATAATACAAATTTTCTTATTTCCAAAAAACAGCTTTAGTTCTCCACTAATAATAATTTACATATATAAACTATATATATATATATATATGTATATATATATATATATATATATATATACAGTATATGTGTGTGTAAATTATATAGTATATATATATATATATATATATATATATATACCGTATTGGCCCGAATTCCATGCCACGCCGCATTGATGCAGTAATTCATGCAAAAGGAGCCCCTACCAAGTATTGAGTACATGTACAGTAAATTACCATACTTTCCAGACGGCCAACAATTCACTAAAAATGTTTTTTTTATTGGTCTTATGAAGTATTCTAATTTGTTGAGAGTGAATTGGTGGGTTTTTGTTAAATGTGAGCCAAAATCATCACAATTAAAAGAACCAAAGACTTAAAATACTTCAGTCTGTGTGCACTGAATTTATTTAATACACGAGTTTCACAATTTGAGTTGAATTACTGAAATGAACTTTTCCATGACATTCTAATTTATTGAGATGCACCTGTATATTGTTTAAAGCATGTCACCCAAAGCAAATTATGATTTGCTTTTAATAAAAAGATTCTCTAATCTGCAATGCAGCTGTACAGACCCAGCAAACAGGGAATAATCAACATGAGTCATTATTGGGATTCAGTCATCATCCTGTTGAGATGTTTATTCTAATCAGACATCCTACACACTTTCATGCTTGTTTGTGGCAATTCTACTGTCTGCTGACATTTTGGTTTGTGTGTCAGCCACTTGAAATGCTTACAAATAGCTGAGTATAACAGATGTCATGCTGCTCTTTTTTTTTTTTTAGGAGTGAAGCCCTTTGAGTGTCTGACCTGTGGTGTTGCATGGGCTGATGCTCGTTCGCTGAAGCGCCATGTTCGCACTCACACGGGCGAGCGCCCTTACGTGTGCCCGTTGTGCCAGGAGGCCCACATAGACGCCAGAACATTGCGGAAACACATAACCAAGTTCCACGGTGATCAGTTGCCCGGTAAGATCATGCTGGAGAAGGACACTCTGCAGTTCCACAACCAAGGCACGCAGGTGGAGCACGCCGTCAGCATCCTCAGTTCCGAGCTGCCCCCTGAACTCCAGCCTCCACAGCCTCCCACCACAGAGGAAATAGAGACCGTTCTCATCACAGAAGAAACCGTGGAGGCCGTGCAGGCTATGAGTGAGGGAACCGGGGCCACGTTGTCTGATCAGAGTATTATGCAGGTTGTGAACTTCGTCCTGGCACAGCAGGCTTCAGTTAAAGTGGAAGAGGCACCAGAAATCATCCAGACCATGGAAGTGGAGGTAGCCCATGTGGCAGAGGTGGAATGAGACACAAGTACTCAGATGTGGCTTCTCAGTGACCACCTCAACAGAAACTGACCTGGCAGTAAAAATAATATGACTATGGGCAGGTTTATTCTTTTTTTGTTGTCATATAAACCCTGTGTGATAATGTAAAATGTGCTCATTTATTTTTGTTGTAAAACATAAATTAAAATAAGCTCAAAGGACTCTTGAGTTTGCTGACATCAGCCTTCCCACAGCTGGATTGTGTGTGTGTGTGTGTGTGTGTGTGTATCAGTGCATGATGTGGATGTGTGAATATGCTTGATTTGCATTATAGTAAACTTTTGTGTACATGTGTACATAAACAGAATAATTAGCATTGTAATACAGTCACAATCAAGCATACAACAAACAAATGAATCCCAATATAAACATTTGTCTTTTTTGTAACTAGGTTGCATTTTCTCATTATTAAGGCTGTTTTTTCTTTCGGATTATTTGTAAAGCTGAGATATAAGCTCTAACAGTCTTAGCGAAAGTGCCATAGGCTCTTGACTTGTATGATGCGGTGCCTCTCGGTCTCAGCTGAGTACTATGTATAGCAGCAGAAATGACAACCAAATAAAAAACTCCCTGTCTTCAGGGATGCACCATGTGCTATATTTCTTTTCTGTTTTTCATTTAAAAGTGTCTTAAAGTGTGAAAATGTGTAAAGTCTATATGCACCACTGCCAGCATCTCAAGATCTGCGAGAGCTGATAGTAATAACGTGCTATGGTTTTTATTATAGTGTTTGCTGTTGGCAGACATTTTGTAGAATAAGTTTAAATCTATTGTTTTCCGTCTGGCAGGAATTTTTCCAAATGTGTTCTGGCTGCCATTTTTCTTAACATACAGTGTTACAATAGACATATGTAGGGTTATAGACACCAAAAAAAAATTAATACAGCACATTGTGCCCTATTTTTACAGATTTTTTTTTACAGTGTATAGTAAAATTGTTTTAGCCACCCATGATTTTATTCATACTTTATATATATATACTAGTGTTTTTATTTAATTTAGAATTTTTTTATGTAAAAATACTATTTGTTATGTGATTGAGGTTAGTTACTAACGTATTTTACACAAGGATGATTTGGTTATTTAATAGTGTGTGACAACCCAGTGCAAACCCTAATCGTAAATTATATTTCATGTAGTGTATTTAGTGTTATTTCAGTTCGTATATATTCATTGTAAAATGTTTAGAAAGGCGAGATTTTTGTGCAACAAACAGAGTTTCACACGCTGATCTGACCTTATTTGGAGAAAAACTGGTGACCAGCCACTCGCATTAGTCCACCTGCGTGATCCCTCATATCCGGAATTTTTATTTTATTTTTTTGTCAGGCGACTCTAATATCACCAAAGCCCCATAAACGTGCACAAACTTCCTCAGACTTTATCACATTGTTATAAAATGTTAGAGTAGTTGTAGAGTAGCGTGGTCTCGTGCTGGTGAACGCGAGCTCATCCAGTGGATGCGAGCGCAGATGTTGCTCATCGCGCGTGAGGTGCGGCGCCTGAGGAGCCTCGCGTACTCTTCATCATCCTCTCTCCTCATGGCGAGAAAGACCTTGGCTTGGTAAAGGACATTGGTCGCTGGAATTTGTGTTTTGTCATTATTTAAATGGATTTCACCGTGCACTAATGATGTATTTGTGGTAGGTTAGTGCTGTGAAATGTGGTGTTTCAATCATGGCACGGGGTCTGATACCGTGGATCTGGCTGAAGCGACCCGTTTATATCCAGGTAAGACGCGAAATAAGCATCGCATGCAACTTGTTTATAAATCATTTCGAGTGTTTCGCTTTAATAGGCATCTGTGTTCTTGGAATCATTTGTGTGTGAGATTTGAATGGACGAGATGGGGACGCTGTTATCCCGTTTGGACTCTGAAGTTTTTGAAGGCTTCAAGCTTCACTCCATGTAGCTAACTAGCTTTAATACAACGACTGAATGCATTTTTGCTCTTTTCAACCATTTTTATTCGACCCTTGCATGAGCCTCATTTTAATATCCTCCTGAAAGACCTTGGCTTGGTAAAGGACGTTGGTCGCTGGAATTTGTGTTTTGTCATTATTTAAATGGATTTCACCGTGCACTAATTATGTATTTGTGGTAGGTTAGTGCTGTGAAATGTGTTTCAATCATGGCACGGGGTCTGATACCGTGGATCTGGCTGAAGCGACCCGTTTATATCCAGGTAAGACGCGAAATAAGCATCGCATGCAACTTGTTTATAAATCATTTCGAGTGTTTCGCTTTAATAGGCATCTGTGTTCTTGGAATCATTTGTGTGTGAGATTTGAATGGACGAGATGGGGACGCTGTTATCCCGTTTGGACTCTGAAGTTTTTGAAGGCTTCAAGCTTCACTCCATGTAGCTAACTAGCTTTAATACAACGACTGAATGCATTTTTGCTCTTTTCAACCATTTTTATTCGACCCTTGCATGAGCCTCATTTTAATATCCTCCTAAAAATTACCGAAATGCCATTTTTCGCAACTGTATCCGTTGCTTTTCTCCTGTGGATTTCATGGATGTGATGATGAAACTGATGTTGCTGCGTTTTATCTATCGTCGGGTCAGTCGTTGCTGTAGCAACCGCGCTGCTGTATAACATTTTTATAGTCCTGCTGAAAACATTTCTCTTACCTGTCAAGAATGAAATGCAAAATATAAACCATGAATTCCCAAACTCATCGGGGCGCTGTGTTCATGTGCGTCAAAGATCGACGACCGCATTTTACACTTCTATTAATACTGAACAACGTCAATACAGCTCATATGTGTTTAACTCACATAATAATAATAAACCTAGTTGCACCTCCACAGACTTTTCAGGGGCATCTAGCCTACTTGTGCAAGTCTTAGGCTTCTGCAAAGTGTTGCTAATGATTTGATGTCATATTCCAGTGAAATAATAAAATGAAATATTAAAAGAATAATTTAAAAAAATGCATTTATACACAATACTGTAACAGTAGTGAAGGTGCAGATTGCAGAACTGTTCAAGTAGAGCCCATGTGTCTGTAGGATGTGATATTCAGTGCTTTTATTATTTCCACCCTTAATGTGGAAAGTTTGAGGACTGACAAAACCACAACACCTTAATTTTTTTAAGGTGAGCACCTATACGATTTTTTTTACCAGTACTTGTGTGAAATGTTAGAAAATCACATTCACAGCATCATAAAAACCAACTTGTGTATATATATATATTTTTTAATCATTTTATGAATATTTTTATTGTTTATGGGCAGCAAAGTATTAAGACTTTTAAACCATATAGATATGTAGGTTTGAAATATGAGCAGGACCTACGCTAATAATCAGAAGAAACTGAATACAAGCTTAATTGGTTCTTGCATTTACAGCACATTTTTACACACATTTTTACACACACACACACACACACACACACACACACACTCACTATCTGTCTGTCTGTCTATCTATCTATCTATCTATCTATCTAACTATCTATCTATCTATCTATCCATGTATTTATTTATCCATGTATTATTTTCCTTTCTCATTCTTTGGTTTCCTCACTCTTCAGTGTGTGACTAGCTCATAATTCACCCAGCTGTTGTACGTGTAAATAAATAAATAAATAAATAAAAATGACAAATAAAAAATGGACATTATCCATTAATTTTACAGACATTTCTGTTAACTCGAAAACACAACGCAATGAAGTGCAAAATTCACAATACAGGTAAAACACCTGTAAAAAAATCTATGGGAAATTCCTTCATATTAATATAGTACATTGTGCCCTATTTTTACAGATTTTTTCAGTGTGTGACTGTGTGTTGTCTGTGTGAAATAAAAAATTTTTTTTAGCTGAAGAAGTCTTGTGCTACAAGGTGAAACCTGTGGTGAATGGTAATCCTTTATGGAAATACAGTTATTGTAGTTTTTTACATCCCTCAAAATGAAGGAAAATGGCATCGGTGTTGCGGTGTTAGGGATGAGCGGTTCAGACTAGGACAGCAGCCCTCCTTTAAGCATTTTATTTTCTCTGAAGACCGTAATCCTGCATGCTTTCAGCAGCTTACTGAGACTTCCTCAGCTCTGACTGTCCTCACACCCAGAGTCTGGCTTACTGTCTGCTGTTTGCTTGCTCAAGGTGCTTCAGGACACAATAGTACTTGTTCAAGAGGTGAGTTTTTTTGTTCTACATTTCTCTCAGTCAGAGACATGATTCACATATTTCAGATACAGCGTCCCCACAAAGCAGCAGTGAGAACCAGCTAAATATAATATATGTGAACACAGGTTTATGAAAGAAACATCTTTGCAGAATGTTAATTAAATCTAGACATCTGCGATTTTAATAAAAACAGATAATTTGTCCAAACTTAATAATTTATTCAGAAATACATTAAAAGTTATAAACTGACTCATCTCTTCTATAATGAACATATTTTAAAATGTTTTCATTTTTTTCATTTTTAAAGACATTTTTAAATTGTGGGGGGAACATAGCATTCAAAATTTCAGAGTGACAGACTGACATATTGGATATAATGAAGTAAAAACCTGATTAAAAAAATACATTTTCTTTAAAGAATTTGGCCACAAAATCAAAGTCACCCCCCCCCTTTATGATTCTTTCACATGCAGTGAAAGAATCATAAAGCAGGAAATGATATCATAGAGAGGGCCCAATACCTTCATAAGTGTGTAAAATATCAGATCATTTGACCTTTCTATGAAATGGAAAAGTTAGTTTTGGTTGTAAAATATCATATTTTACAGCCCCCCCCCCCCCCCAAAAAAAAAAAAACCATATAATATTAATGAATTAATAATTTGTGGTATTAGTAAAAATGCATTTCAACATGAAAAATATATTTAAAAGCTTTTTAGTTTTTATGACCTTTATGCCTTTTACTCTGTACTGGTTATACCATATCATTTTATTTTAAACTTTTGTTGAAAATGTTTTTTCAAGACCACATGAAACCAACTATATGAAGATTTAATTACTAACAATTGTTAATAGATTTTTCCTTTTCTTGGACACAATTGTTTTTTTTTATATTTCATAGACCCAGATGACAAAACTGTGATAGGCTTCTTTTGTGCATGTTTCCTGAGGCTGATTTTAAGATCCCTCTTTTTGCAAAGGTTGAGGACTAAAACACTGTGACCACCCAGCAATGAGGGATAGAGGACATTCAATAGAAAATACTCCATAGGGAACCTTCAGACAACGAGTCCAGACAGACTTTCAGTTATCAAGGACAAGAGGGAAAGTAATATGAGCAGCCCAATACAAAATGACACAGTTACCCCATTGCAGTGTATTGTAGAGTCCTTGGTCTCTGATCCCACAGGATGATACATTTCTTAACTCAATTGTCACCTTGGATTAGTTTCATTACACTTTTCATACACAAGTGTATGACAAAGTATCAGCTGTTTTGGTGTTAGTCAAGTCCAAATATGCTGCACTGCAGTTTCATGCATTGCAAGCAGTGATTTGGTGAAACAGTTTAATCAAGCCACACCAGAGAAATGCTTGAAGATATGTCCATGTTTCTTATTCGGCTGACTCACTATGACTCAAAACCCATACAGTGCTCTTTTACCCAAC